ATAAGCAAATAATATTAATTATTGCCAAATTAGAGTGTACCTTCCTATTGAATGCAGGGTTGTGCGTTGGTTGGTTTGGTTAAAAACCAGCCATAAAACCAATACAAATCATCCAACCAACTTTGGTAAATATTGAAAACGTTATCGACCCAATTTACATGGGTTGGGTGATGGTTGAAAACCAATTTAGTGGGTCGGTTGGTGGTTTGGTTGATGGGTCATCCATCTAAATATTTTTTTAATTTTTTTAATATTTTATTAGTTGTTACAATGCTATATCTTTTATAAATTAAATATGACTAGTTCAAGAATATTCAAATAAAAGATTCAAAACATTACGTGCATATATATTGTAATTAAATCTAGTTCAACAAATAATAATCGTTCAAGTATTTAGGCTGTATGTCTTAAAATTAAAATAGTTCAAATTAGATAATTAGGTTAGATTTATTGCTTTTAGGATTTTAGTCAATATTATACAATTTAATAAATGTGATATAAAATAGAAATTTGGAATTAAAAATATTAAACATTTTAATTAAAATTAATAAATAATAAATTAATACATAAAGTTGGTTGGCCGATATTACCCGACTAACCAACTTTTTAGCATATTAGAAACCATTATCGACCCAACTATACATGGGTTGGTTGACATTATCGACCAACTTAAATTGGTCGGTTGATGATTGATTATCCATCACAAATTATGGGTCAAAAATTGGTTGGTTGGTGGTTAAAACCGATCCATGCACAGCCCTAGTGAAATGAAACATACATTTATAGGTGGATGAATAGGTAGAACTTTTGTAGAAATCTGATGTGGGACAATATGTTGTCATTTTAAGGGTAAAATGTATGTTAATTGAGTTTTCACACACAATTAGATAAGATAGAGTAATTTTGGGCCTAATTCTAATTAGATTATGAGCCTAATTATGATTAGCCATATCAATAATATAACTCGATAATAAATATGGACCAAAGTGTGTGGTGTACATTAACAAATGTATATATTTTGTATGCAATCTAGAGGTATGCATAATACATGTGTGTAGTGTTTCCTTGTCATTCATAACTGTATTTTTACATGCCCCAGGGATGAGGTAGCAAGTCTTATACAATGTCTATTGGTCAGATCATATGTGAGAGTGAGGAGATCACTTCAAGTTGTGTTTTCTGCTGTGGGCGAGTTGTCTCGTTTTGTTGCGAGCTGAGCCTCGTTCAATGGGGGAGAACTCGTGTGTGTGACCGCTTCTTCTGCGGACCTCATTCGATCTATGTCATGTTGCAGACTTTCCATCTTTCTCTGTCCTTGTACCATAATGTAATCACAACCTCATCTATAACTATGCTACGTGATCCTTATTACCGAGGCTTTTAGGGCAATCGAGCCCATATGACAGACAAATATAAAAACGAACTACACAAAATCAAATATATATCATACTACACGAGTTAGTATTTTCCTAAACAAATTTTCTCTAATTTTTTATTTCATGATTTACATTGATTTTATACAGACAAGACAAAAAAAAAATTGTGGTGACCAAAATTGAAGTACCTCAAAACGGACCAATCAAAATGTGGCAAGTAGGCAAAGGTAGATGATGGCCATGATGAGAGTGTGGAGTTAGGTAATTTAATGAATGCATGCATTCAAATTAATTTTTTTTGTAATGATTTTTTTTGTATGCTTCTGTGAGTTCTGTTGAAACTGACAGAACATATTAAATAATAATTTCAATTCATTCATTCATTCTCTACAATTCATAATTACATAGCGACAGATATATGCCAATTTGCCATATATTGTACCACCATTATTATTCATAACGACTTTATTGCACTATTTACACCTTAGTTTCGCAGATTCCCTCATTTCAAGGCAATCTTTTCAAAAATCTTTCTTTCTCGATTTTACATACAGCTTCGACCCCGTTCCAAATAAATTTGGAGAAATCGAAAATCGAAACTTCGGAAATCAAATAAATTTGGACAGTTCGGAAATCGAAATAAAAAAAAGACGGAATTCGAAAATTTCATTCCCATTTCACCCTAATTGAAGAGGTTACATTTGATATCTTTGAAATGAATGGCGGTTTTCGAACTCATGACATTTTTCATTTGTTCTGATTTTGATTTTGATCTACATGTTAAATGATTACCTCTTAGTGAAATGTATTTATTTAATATTAATATATCCAATATAAATTTAAATAAGTTTTTATTTTAGTTGGATAAAATGACATGTCCAAATATATTTTTTTTCTAAAACGAATCGGGCATGAACTGAATTTGTAAATTTTAAGTACTGCAATTGACTAGATTTATATATTAAAAGAAATGATAAATAATAAGCGACTTTTAATAAATGTAGAATATATATATTTTTTTTTAATTTTAACTTTTACATCTATTCCAACCATTTATCGTAAATTAGGATTTTTAATTCTTAGAGATAAATTTGAAAAAAAAATCATCTAAATTCAAAATTGGAACTTAGATTTGTCTTCGCACAGTTAGATTTAGATGAATTTGTTAAGAATTTTACCTTACTTTCAGCCGTACAATCTTCCAAAACCGATAAATCAAAGTTCCTGATTTGATATTATTCCAAAACAATGACATATTAGTTTTTAATTTTTTTTTTAAATAAAATATCCTACTTTTACTAAAAAGTAAATACTTGTGCATTTATCACCACCTTTAATAGTAACATGGTACATAAAAATTTGACAGTTCATCCAACTTGAGAAGAGAAACCCTAGTTAATTACTTTACAATTAATGTCAACTGCAGAGGGCAGCACATTATTGATTTAGCCATAATGAAATACGAGATGAAATTAATTATACACATGCATCTACGAAGATTACACGCGTATACTAAACGAAAGGCGTAGTAAATTAAATAAATCGAAAAAAATTTAACTTAATTAATTAATACTAATGATGAATATTGATGGTATTCTTGATTCTTTTGAGTCCGATCGAGAGCCTCCAAGCATTCAAAAGAGAATCGGGAAGCAAAGAGGCGAAGAACCACTGAATCGAGTGAGTCCAGTAAGGTGTACACCTGGCTTGATCGTGACCGATGAATCGAATTGCCGATTCTACGTATTTATCTGCTGATGGTACAAAAACTGATGATTTTCCTACAGCTGCAACTTGTGATGCCATTTTTGTTGATACATACAGTGGTACCTGCAATAATATTGATTATCAGAGCTGTACAAACTAATAAATATACAGTAAATATTATTCAGTAATTGAGTTAGCCATTAATGGAAAAAGAAAAAGGTTTCAACAAATTTTATTTAAAAAAACATAAATTTTAGGGTAAATTACGGCCACCTGCTTGAGGTATGATCAAATTACAAAAATCCCACTCATGTTTGGGAAACTACAACCATTCCTCAACTGTGAATTTTTTTACATGTCCATACAGGGGCGGACCCAGGGGTGTTTTCTTGGGGGGGGCGGAAATATAGGGGTAAATTAAGAGAGAATTTTTTTTTTGTTTTTAGGGACTAAAATGTACAAAATTAAAAGTTTGGGGGGGCGAAAGTGTATAAACTAATACATAAATCCCCAAAAAAAAAAAAAAAAAAAAAACAGCTTAAAAAAAAATTCTTGGGGGGGCGGGGGCCACCCCAGCCTTAGGCGTGGGTACGCCCCTGTGTCCATATATTCTTGCGGTGTCAAATTTAGTGGAATCTTCTAGATTATGTGGAATATTCTCCAGGTTGTACCCGTTTTACCCGATTCGAGCTCCGCATTTTGAAACATTAAGATAATCATAAGATGCGTCTTTTAACTTGTAAATATCAGATTGTTGTACATCATAAATTGCATTTTTTTGCATAAAACGAGTACAAACTAGAGAAAATTCTACAAAATCTAGAAGATTTTGTTGAATTTGACACCATAAGCATGAATGCGTAAGAATATTCATAGCTGATAGGTGATTGTAATTATCCAAATACGGATAGTTTTTTTTTCGTAATTTAACCTTACCTCAAGGAATTGTCATAATTTACCCTAAATTTCATTCTGAAATTTAACAGTAAAATATATATGTACCTGACACTGGACATCAATTCCATAGTGCTTGTACTCCACGTATAGGCTTCTGGATAACTGATCAATATACCTGCAGTAACTCAATTCATTATATATATATATATATATATATATATATATATATATATATATATATATATATATATATATATATATATATATATATATATATATATATATATATATATATATATATATATATATATATATATATATATATATATATATATATATATATATATATATTATCGGGCGGAAAAAAAGGGGAATGGAGGATTATAACGATATAATCCGTTGGCATGCATGCTTTGAATTTACATACAGGAACTTTAAATTTGAGAAGAAAATGAGGAGTTAGGCCTCGTTAATTCAATGTAACGCAAACTATCTTGCTCCAGCCGCTAGATCATCTCTTGCGGTTCACGATAATAGCTAACATATTTTCTGAAAATTAAATACGTGTCGATACATATTCATGATACTTTACTTGTAAATTAAAGAGGACGATAAAAACCTTCAACAACTTTCCCGAAAGAGAGATATATTCATTCAATTGATGTTGGGTCTAACTAATTTCCCCTTATATATTATCTACTAATTTATTAAATAGGGTAAATTACACCCACATCCCTGTGGTATGCTTAAATAATTTTAAGGTCCCTATAGTATCGATAATTACACTCACCCCCTGAAACATAGTTAGAAACTCTAACGGGATAATGCATTGGATACGTTATTCCAATAGGGTTCTAATGGACTATTACTTTTAGCTAGTGGTGGAGATAACATAGAGTTATGGGGAGTTATGGGGTGACATCGTTCCCCCAATATTTCTTATATCACCCATAATTATTTATTGTCTTCACCACTTCCTGAAACCAATAGTCCGTTAGAACTCTAGCGTCATAACGTATCCAATGCATTATCCCATTAGAGTTTACTACGTTTCAAGGGAGTGAGTGTAATTATCGATACCATAGGGACCTTGAAGTTATTAAAGCATATCTCAGGGGTGTGGGTGTAATTTACCCTATTTAATAATGTTTTTTGTTCACAACTAAACGAAATTTAATTAGTACGTTGGATTGGTTAATCTACGATGAAACACGTGGCTTTGGGCTTTGCAAGAGAGAAGTATATAAGAGAACTAATTTGTTGGAGGAGAAAAGTATAATTGTCTCTAACACCCTAAAGACTGACTTATTCACGAATTAGTCCAGACAACTTTTTTTTAACTTCATATTTTGATTTTAGTATAATTTTATCCTTGAAACCATAATTAATTAACCCAAAATTCACCTATTAACCAATTTCATTCACATGGTTAGAATTTTTGGGTTGAAGTTGTACGCAGAATAGTGTTGAATCTTACCAACCAAATATCTTATTAACCCCTACTATTTAGCCAATCTAACCTAATGGTAGCACGCGAACGAGGCCTAAGTTATTTGTACTTCTTACATTTGCACCCTTAAAGAGTTATGAACGGAATTTAAAAGATTCTGTGAAATATTTGTTATGGGTTTCCAAATCTACCCACCAAAGGGGACATGTAATATATATTCTCGCAGGGCATAAATGTCATATCCTGTCTTACTTCGGGGGTTACACGTAATTTACCCACTATTTGTTTGTTTAAATAACCGGGTAATCTAGACAATTCATTCATTCGGTTAGAATTTGTCATTGGTTGTTAGTTTTATGTGGTTTTTATAATTACAAATACCACGATAATTCATCGGTTATTTCGTCCTACTTGAAGGAAGTATCCACAATTTACCCGAAAAAAACAAAGAGTTACGATTTTCCGAAATATAATTTTTTTTTCTTCTTCATGATCACATTTTATGCAGAAAAGACGAAAAAAATATGGTCACCAAAATTTCAATACCACTCGATCCCAAAAGGGACCTATTATTTTTATGTGTGATAGGCTAGCTATATGGAGTTAGGTATATGATTAACAAGTTTCGAATGCATTCAATTAACTTTTTGATAGCTACTACTCGAAATAAATGCATTCAATTTTTTTTCTTCTTTGGATTTTTTGGTTCGCATCAAAATTCGTTGAAAGCCGAGACGACAAAAAATCCGATACTATTTTCGTTTCATATTAAGTGTCATTTTGTAAGTTTTTTTTTTACCCATTTATGTATCTCTTTAGAATTTTTGTTCAACTCACTTAAGCATAAAGACGTGATAAAGATACAATTAAAAGTCACAACCGTATAAATTTGTCAAATAAAAGAATTCCACCCGGTTCAAGACGGTATATATATATATATATATATATATATATATATATATATATATAACCATTTACTAAGCAAACATACGCATGAATGCGTATTATTATGTGTAAATCAATGGTTCAAAATCATCCGACCTATTTCCTCGAGTGTTTCATCTACAAAACCTTATATGTGGGGAATATTTGATTCGATCTATTTTAAAATCAGTTATCAGCTACCGAAATATCATTGAAGTCTAATAATTTTTGGAATGGTTTTGATTTTTTACTCCTTTGTTTTTGGATATCCGACCATTTATTATATGCAAGAGCGATTCTTGCTTTAGAGGCTGTTTGGCTAAGCTTATTTTAAACAGCTGATAAGCTCTTACGTCAGATAAGGTGTTTTAAGAGCTGATAAGTTGTTACATCTTATTTTTAGGATTAATTTTTAGAATGTTTGGATTATGAGCTTAATTCTTATTTTTACTCATTATAAGATCTTAAATAAAAAGGTGGGGTAGAGGTACTTATTTAAAAAGATTTTATTTGCTCTCCAACAGCTTATTTAAAAAAAAATTAAGATATTTTCCTAAAACATTACCAAACACTTTGGAAGAGCTTATAAGCTCCAAAACATCTTATAATTAGTTCATTTTAACATCTTATAAGTTTAGCCAAACACCCTCTTAGACCAACTTATTCTAGTTCAATTATTTTTACTACATATTTAACCCACCTAATTTATACGCTGTAAATTTAATTTTTATTTCAGCCCATAAAAATATATATATTTCATCCAAAAACAAATTTAATACCAGATACACAAGATTTTCTCATTCTTTCTTGAATATAAGCCATTGATTTTCTTTGCCTCAGAAAATATATTCTTGAAATACTTTATATAACAAGTCTTTGGTGGAACGATTAACTTGCCAATGACTTACTATTTTAAAATTGGGGAAATTGGCTAGACACCCCTTATTCTAGACTTATATAGGTGAAGATCCATTCTATTAGATGAATATAGGTGTAGGTCCTTCATCAATTAAAATTAATTAAATTATTTATGTATAGACATAGATACCCCCAATTAATATTTTTATGTAATTAGTTAATTTTTAAAATTAAGGAAACAAATCCCACAAATCTCTCACTCTCTCTCCTCTCCACACCACACCACACGGTTACAACTCTCTCCCCTCTCTCTCTCTCTCTCTCTCTCTCTCTCTCTCTCTCTCTCTCTCTCATCCCCATTTCCCATTTCTCTCTCTCGCACACTTATATTATTTCTCTCTCTCAAGCCTTTAGCTAATTTGAATTAATTCTTCATTTATTTAAAAAAATCTTTAATTCTATTTTCATAATTATTTTATAGCAATCTTAATTATTAATTTTCTTGAGACCATATGTGTTGGATTTTTATTGTTACTTCGTATGTTCTCGATAGTATTGCATTTTTTTGTTTGCATTTTCTAATTAGTTTTATTTCTGCAATTATTAAACAACATAATAAAAAATCGGACAACAAAATAAATTGCAACATAAAATAGAAAACTGCAAACTGCAACTTATAACTGAAAATTGTATTATCAAGCACCAAAAATAATTTGAAACAACAAATGAATGTGAATCACTAAACAATAATTTTTTTTTGCGCTCTAGAGGACCTTTTACATGTTAGCAACATGAACAAAAAATGGATCATCTTTTATCTTTTTTTGGACGAATACAAGTTGAAACGTTCTCGCGAGCATAAATATTTGTCACACACAAAGAGTGTCCAGTGCCGAAGTTCGACAATGGGACATTCACCTAATGCAGCGGGAAAAAAATGTAACGAAAATCGCTCATATTCTTTCACACCATGAACTTTTTCACCATTGACATTGATTTCGTGGACGTCCGTATGCATTTAATATTCCTTTTACTCTCTTCGTTGTTGTTGAACGTAAAATAAAAAGAGAAAGTGGTTGAACGTTACAAAACAACAAATGTAATAATTGCAAATATTATCAACCACTAATTGCAAATTGCAAATACAAACGGTAAAGGTAAACTGTAAACGAAAAATGATAAAGAGGGAAGTATAAACTGTAAACAATGAAGTATAAACTGTAAAATGTAGAAATCCAAAACAAACATACTGAAATTCAATTTGCAAACTCATAACGGAGAAATGCAAATTGCAAAGTCAGAACACATAATTAGGTTCTTCAAATGTATTGTTTTAGAATAAACATAACCAATGTCGTAACATAAACAAACCCCTCAATTTACCTGATTTCGGGGATTGGAAATCATCATCCTCCTTTGCTGTTAAGGGGGGAAAAACGGGTTCTCAAATTATTATTGAAATATTTGAAATAAATAGCAAACAAACATAATACAAAAGCAAAAAAGGAACAAAATACAAAATTAATAATGAAAGAAAAAAATCAATATCGAAAACCCAACATGCAAATAAAATTTTACACAAAGGATCATTGATTACCAAGACTTAATCGTGTTTTGGCCATCGTATGAACTCCAAACAACAAACCCTAAACACCAGCCGTTGATTCCGAACAACAAACAATTTGTAAACAACAAACAAAACAAAGTCAAATTGGGCAACAGTAAATCGAAGAAGGCAAACGGAATAAAGGCAAAATACTCAGACCTGGTAATTTGTAAACAGCAAACGAAACAAATGTAAATAGTGAACAACAAATTTGTAAACAGCAAACGAAACAAATGCAAATAGTGAACAGCAAATCGAACAAAGACAAAATGCAAACGACCTGGTAATACTGCAAACGATCAAACACCCAAATCTATGGAAGGATTCAAAATTCGTG